GGGCAGCCAGTGGCTCCCCTGCCCCCAGGCAGCCAGTGGCTCCGCATCCCTGGCTCTTAGGGGTTCACAGACATGGACAGCCAACAGCTAGCTCCATGCCCCGGCTGGCAGGGCTCTGCTCTGCTCCTGGCTGGGCTGCGGGGGCACCAGGCTGGTGGGGCTCTATTCCAGTCAGCCCTGTCCCTAGCAGCTCACTGCCCACGGTTGCAGCAGCTCCCTGACCCTAGCCAACTCTGCTCCAGTTGGTAGGGCTCCCTGTCGCCAATACCCAGCCCCCAACACTGCTCTGAATACCTGCTTTCTGGCTGGACTTCTTGCGCCCTAGGCTGCTAGCATTCCCAGCTGCTGGCAACCTTTTGGATGGGGATCTCTGTTCCAGCAACATAACATCCATGGTCCTGCCAGGTCACAGAAGTTGCTTGATCAGAGAGTCCTGGACCAGAGTGGTTCAACCAATAGTCAGCGCCAACTGGAAACAGTGAATTCCTAAAGGCAGATTGCTGATAAAATGTGTCCAGGTAATGTAAAATGTATCATGTTTATAGAATCAGCCTTTTCCCCTTTTTCCTATTCCTAAGTCTTACTCCAGGGGGCTGTATAGCAATACTTTGCAAGTGAATAAACAGTTACATAAAGTGAATGTTCCCTCTGGCAAAAGACTCATTGTTTTAAGCAGAGTTTTAAAAAAAAAAACCAAAACCAATAAAGATCTTGTTTTGGGAACTCCATACACTCTTGGTAAGCTTCTGACAGTTTTGGAAAAATATTTACTTTGGTAACTAAAGCTCATGTTTGTTTTTCAAGAGAATAGTGTCACTGCACTGAGTGATGTGTTCTTAGGCAGACATATCCCAACACACTGACATTCTTGTCTCCAGTATCTTTCACATAATTTATTAAATACCAACCTGCAGAAACCAAGTCTGTTACCAAGAATAAAATAAATCTCCAAGACATAGGTAACAGGCAGAAATTAATATTCTGAAAAAGTCAGCTTTCATGTGCCAATTATAAGACTTTCATGTATGCATTTTAATAATAATTTACAACCAGCATTTCTAGATACTGCCAAAAGCAAAGCTCTTTGTAGAGTACCGTAACTGCAGACCAGGTGTCTAGGGCTAATCTGTAATGAAGAAGATTTCAAGAAACTTTCTTATCTGTATTTTACACACTAAATCTGCAGTAGCACTTTATCCACATCCAGTTTTCTTAATGGTGACTAACAGTTCCAGTTACACACTCTCTACACTACAAAGATTCCATAAAGCATATTTTCCATACAGTTCTTGTAGTTATTGACATAAGACATTCCCTTGTAAAAAACTAAACAAGTATCACAGAAAACACATAGGACTAAACTCAGTATCCTCTGTCAGCGCCAGATTTTCAGAAAACCTCAGCACATTCTTAAGAATATCTTGTCCCAGCTATAGATAATGAACCCCTGGAAATCTAGGCCACATCCCAAGCATAATTGTAATGTTTTCTTTTTTTGGATTTTTTTTTTGTCTATCTGACATTGTTCAGAATACCAGAAAGCACCATACATGTGAAAAAGTCTTCCAGATACTTCCTTAGTCACTCTGATTCTTCACAGCATTGTGTTGCCTTTTACACATGAGCAAAAAGAATGCAACACAAATGTAAATGATTTACCAAAACTGAATTGTTGCTTTTTACATTCATCTTGCAGTAGTGTGGGTATACAAGGCGCAGAGCTAGCACAGAATCAAGCCTGAAATGTTTATTCTGAGTGTATAGTATGCATAGCTGCTCAGAGGAAAGAGATTAAACGATAAAAAGAGGTGGCAGCCTTTTGGGTGAGTGTGAATGCATGGCATTCTATGGAACAAGCAGACAAGTACCAGATGCTTGTGGAATATAAGGGGCATACAACTTCTGCCCAAATGAATATGTGTTTGAAGAAATGCTCATTATCAGATGAAAATATTTAACCCACAGAAATATGCACAAGATTATGCAGTGTGTGATACGTAATCTATTTACGATATGTGACAGAAGATAAATTTTCTGTATATTTAGGTCTAATGTGAGCTGTAAGTCTATTGCATTTATGATAACAACTTGATGTGCAAAGTTTTCTGAATATTAGGGGATGTCATCAAAAGCCCCATATGTATGTGTACTACAAGTGGCTTATTTTATATTCAAAAATCTTTCTTTCACATAAAAACACATGCATGTTTGAATACACACAATTTCTAGATGCTAGGTAGTAAAAATGCAAAGTTATGTCTTATGATGTCATTAGAGGGATGTATTTCACTAGAC